ATCCTGAAATATATCCTATTTGTCATGATTCTTAAACTGCAGTTTCAAGAGATTTTATATAGCAAATCCTATCTTCTTGAGATTCCCTYTTAATTGGGTTTGAAAGTAATGGAAATCCAGGGTGATCACATTAGGCTAAAGCATGGCCTGGCTTGCTATGCTATAAAAGGGAGTGAGATTTTCTTTCCAGTTACAGACCGGTAACCTCTTGTTTGTTGAAGGAAATAGAAGTGTCCACTTGTTCTCGTATGAAGTTTATTCCCAGGGACTGACAAATGTCTTGATTCTGCCTGGGAATGTGACAAAGATAAAATAGYAAACAGCATAGCAAAGAGTGTCACTTGTTCCTGATTGTCTTGGGTTGATTTTGTGCCAATCCTGTATTCCTATATTCCATCRGCTTGTATGCCCAAAAGGTGTCTGTGCCTTTAAATCCAACCCGGAAGAAGGGGCRGGGGCGGTGMGGRCAGTTTAAAAGCYGGGGCTGCCATGCAGCCRGGGGCTTTTGAGCTCAGCTCGGGGCCACGGGAGGTTCTGCTTGCTGGGTGCAGCGGAGTTACATTGGTGCCCTTTAGCTAGCTCGGGTTTGTTAGCTTGGGCAGCTCTCCTTGGACTGCTACTCTTTTCTCCGCCTCCTGTGATTCTGCTTCTGGAGCAATTCGGTGGGGAGAAGCCGCGCCTCTCCGTTTCGTCCCGGACTCCGGAAGAAGCTAAGTTGGCGACAGAAAAACACACCGAGCCCTCTGTTTCATCCACAGTGAAGAAAGGACTATAATCAGGTTTTTTTTCCACTGTTGCCAGAGTGGCCACGTGGATTTTTTTCCTTTGTTTCTTTTTCCCGAGGATGGGAGCTGCCATCTCTTCTCTGCACGACGTGGCCAAGCTGTTGTGGCGGGAGGGGTCGGTGTGTGCTCCTGAGTTTAAAATATCTAACAGTTACTTTTTAATCTGTGTCCTGTGGGCACTGTGTTTTGTTAATAAACTACTTTTTTTTTCTCTTCACTTTCATATTGGTGGGAAAAAAATTATAAAATTTTCACTACGGAGGAAACATTTACTCTGTAACATTTTTCTCTGAAAACATTGTCTCAAAACAAGATAAATTTGATAAAAGTCAGTAGGATTTTGTTTTTCACCTATGACTAAATGGAAGCACGATATTCTGCTTTAGAAGATGTTTTCTCATTACCAATTAAAAAAAAAAATATAGTCAGAGCCAGGATTTTCTGATACAAACATTTCTTTTTCTTAAGAAAAACTATTAAGACTTAATGTCAAACTAGAATATATGCTGAAGTTTAAAACCAAAATATTATACATAAGGGATTTTAAAGAAGAAATATTGAGTTTTCTGCTAAAGCACTTTAAAGCGGAGATTATATTAACATCAAAGGTAAATGTATCTGAATCCCCCCGTCTGTGAAAACTATTTTGTGGSTTAATCAGTAATAAAGTTGTTAATGGAGATGTATTTTTACTTGTGGTCAATAAACGGTGTGGTATTTGTAGGAGGAGTCTGTACCCATCTCACCTAGCATGGGAGGAAAATGCACACAGCTTCTGGGCTTCAATCATGAAAGGCATAACAGTTCTGGCTTGAAGTAAGCTTGTATTAACCCCCTTACCAGCCTTTAACTGTGTTCGTTTTAAATGGTGGAAATTTCCCATGTGAGAATGTTATTTATAGAAGCAAAATCTTTGTGCTTTATCAGAGGAAATGTTATTGTAATACACATGACAAATTCTTGACCACTGCTCATCATACAGAGATACTTAAACCTTCCCCCGGAGTGAGTTTGTTCTCCCCCAGAAAACACACATGGACATGCACATGGAATGGAGAGTGCACAGAATCTGGAATGTGGGCACTTAAGAGAAACAATCTTTGGGCAGGTATTTTCCACTTGTCAGAACAAATTGGTAACGAATTATAGACTGGTATCATTAAGATCATCCTTTCAGTAGCTTTCAGCATTGGATGGTTTCCAGAGCTGAGAGCCTCAGAGAATATTTTAACAGAGACAGCAGCTGTTGATGTGGCCTGGTTGTTCTTTCCCCACTCATTCTGGCTCACAARAAGACCAGATGATGCTAAGGCTTAGTGTTCACAAAGATTAACAAGGTCTATACTATACTCTTACTAGGTAGGTAGTTAATATTCACCCTTTACATATAAGAAAACTTAAGCAGAAGATGTGTGCTATCACAACACTTTGTTATCCACTGTGTAGGTCATGGACAGAGAGCGATGTAMTGGCACAGAGTGTGGTACAGGAAAAGAAGTGTAACCCTTGTGACCAAATATTTCCTGCCTCCCAAATATTACAGGCTGGTGGATATGCCATCAGCCTCACATGCTTAGTGCATAGTGCACTTGTACCTTCTGCACATGCAATGCTGTGTCCCTGGCACAGAATATGGTATACACTCCAAGGGAAAGAGAAAGGACTTATTTTCTTCTTGTTTTTTGTTTAGTTGGATTTTTTGTTGGTTTTTTCTTGGTAAGCACACCTATGGGTAGATTCCTCCAGAGTGTGCCTTTGGGAAAAATTTGAGGGGCTGGCTTGTGTCTACAGGTTTACAGGCTCATCAGTCATCTTACATACCACCTGCTGGGGAATCCTACACATAATTGATGCTGAGAAAGATTATATACCCASAGGAGGCTGAGGGAGGAAAAATAAAAATCAGCTTGGTACTTAGAGAGAGAGAGAAGAAAAGAGTTATATTTTCAGTAATAAGATGCAGTGAGAAGTAGAATACTTGTCAGCAAAGAGGAAAAGTAGATAATCCCAAATTTCAGCATTTTGGATAAGGAAGGGGAAAAGGTTAGGGGCATAGTATAAAGCTTGTATAAACCTATAACCTCATAGGTTAGCCTATGAGGAAGAAAAATGAAGTAAAGGCTTACACACTGTATCTCTAATTTAAGGGGCCCCTTTCTCCACAGGGAGTCAGTGAGGTGTGGACTCTCCTTCCTTTCAGTGAGGCATGACTCTCAGTAGTGTGGGTTCACTTCACAGCCTTAGTGTGGTTGCTGGCCAGGCCAAGAGTGGTGGAGCAGAATATTTACATACAATCAGATGCTCACTCTTTACATGGCCTTGCCTGGACTGGCGTGGTTTTACCTTCCTCTGTCCCTAGTGCCGTGGTGTACCAAAGGCAATGTGATCAGTCCTGGCTGTCATGATGGCTTGTCCAGGGGATGGTCTCTTCTGGAGAGTGCCTAGGCCTAGGGAAGGCCATGTTTAACCCACTCTGACCTGTGAGATGCTGTCTTTAATCCCCAAGACATGGCCACATGCCGTGTGACAACCCTGGTCTGGCCATCRAGAAATCTTGGCACATAGTACTGGCTACTGCCAGAGAATCAGAGAGTCAATTAGGTTGGAAAAGACCTCTGGAGATCATCAAGCCCAACCTCTGACCCAACACTGTGCCAACTAGACCATGTCATCAAGAGCCATGTCCAGTCTTTTCCAACACATCTCCAGGGACAGTGACTCTGCCACCTCCCTGGGCAGTCTATTCCAAGGTCTAATCACCCTCTCCATGAAGAAATTCTTCCTAATGTCCAGCCTATACCTCCTGCAGCCGAAGACTATGTCTTCTTGTCCTGTCACTCGCTGTCTGGGCAAAGATGCTGACCCCCACATGGCTACACCCTCCTTTCAGATGGTTGTCGTGAGAGAGTAGATCCCCCTAAGCCTCCTTTTCCCCAGGCTAAACACCCCCAGTTCCCTCAAATGTAAGACTTGTGTTCCAGATCCTTCCCCAGCTTCCTTACCCTTCCCTGGGCATGCTCCTTCTAGCATTTTTTTTGCAGTGAGGGGCCCAGAACTAAACACAGGATTCGAGGTGTGGCCTCTCCAGTGCTGAGTACAGGGGGCGGTCACTGCCCTGGTCCTGCTGGCCACACCATTGCTGATCCAGGCCAGGATGCCACTGCCTTTCTTGGTCACCTGGGCACACACTGGTTCATGTTCAGCTGCTGTTGACCAGCACCCCCAGGTCCTTCCCAGCCCCTGCCCCAGCCTGTAGCGCCGCCTGGGGTTGTTGTGACTCCAGTGCAGGACTCAGTACTTGGCCTTGCTGAATCTCAAAGCTTGGCGTCCTTAACCTGTAACAAAGCCCAAGCCCTTTCCCCGTGTTAAATCCCCCCGAGGCCGCTCCGCTGGGCGGGCAGCGGGGCGGGTTCGTGACGGGCCGGCGGGGGCGGTGCCGAGCCGGGTGCCCGCCCCGACATGGCCGCCTCCAGCAGGTAACGCGCCGGGCCGGGGCTGCMGCGCCTGTGCCTCGCCCGGCTCCGGCTGGGGACGGGGAGCCGCGGGGCGATGGGGTGCGGGTGGCCTCTGCTGCTGGCTCCCTCCCCGCCGTGCCGCCCTGTGCCTAGCCGCGACTCCGGCTGTGTCTGTCTCAGGACGAGGTGCTGTAAGGGGGAGAAGGCCAAGTCACTCCCTGCGTCTGCCTTACAGCTTTTACAGCCTCGCCCGTGTGTTCTCAGGGCAGAGCAGAACGGACACTGCTGTGAGGGTATGAGGCCGTAGGACAGGTTGCCCAGGAAGATTGTTCATGCCCCAGTCCTGGCTGTGTTCAAGGCCTGGAGTAACCTGGTCTAGTAGGACGCGTCCCTGCCCATGGCACGGGTTTGGGACTGGTTGATCTTGAAGGTCTACTAAAACCCTTAACAGTCTGTGATTCTGACACGCTCCTGTGGTTATTCCTGTTATCGTTGTTTGTAGCGAGTGCCCAGAGCCTGCGGGTTTGCGGGATATCGGTGGGAGGTTTGGTACTGGCTGTCCCTGGCAGAGGCGGGCTGGGGGAGCTGCGATGTGCTGGCTCCTGGATGCACTGGTGCTTTCAGGTGCATTTGGCCAATGCTGGAGCTCTTGAATCTGACCTTCGGACCTCCTGAATTCCTTTCTTTTCTTCACCAGATGTCTGCGTGTGTACAGCATCCTTATACGTTTATGGTGGCGTGTCTGCGGCGCAAAATCAAGCCAAAACTGAATAACAAAGAGCCAAACTTGTCCCTGATCGCGGCGCTCCCTCTGCCGTCAGCCGCGGCTCAGCTCTGCCGGCCACCAGGTACTTTTGTTTTCAGAAGCAGTTTCTGTGCCAGATAAGCCTCCTGCATTACATTCAAGCTTTACGTTAACCTTTGTAGTTATTTCAGACCAGCTGTGTGACCTGCTATAACGGGAGCTTGCATTGCAAGGGGAAACCGTTTTCAGTGTGTGTTTTAGTGAGCTACTTTTTAAAAATACTTGTTTTAAAAGTAGGTGGTAGCAGTAATGAATGCTGCTGTCAGTTATCCCGTTTTCTTCTTTAGTCATGTTGGCCTTTTTAGAGGAGGTGTGAGATCCTACCCAATGTAGTTTTCTACTTCTATATAGTTGAGTGCGATTCCTTTATTCAGAAATTAGAGCAGACTGATGGTTTCTGTGCCTGCCAATTTGAGCCTCTGGTAATGATGCAACAGGTAAGTCAGAGAGTTTAGACCTGGTTCAGACAGACACCAGGGGAGTGTTCTGCTGTCTCAGCTATGCACGTAGTACTGTTTGAGATGCCTTCAGGAAGTGGAGTGATGCTGACAAGCATGACACAGCTTCTAGAGCAGTAGGTTAAATGCTGAGTGTTGTGGGGTAGGTCAYCTCTGCCAGTTTTAGACTGCTGAATCACCACATCATCTGTCYCTTCCTCTGTTGTTTAGTTTGGGGGTTATAAAAGGATAGAAAGTAGTCTTTCAGCTTCAGTTTCTGTGTTGGTTTGACAAGTACTGTGGCATGACTTCTTTGCTTTTGCCTGGAAAATGTGAGCATTTCCAGTTCTGACTAAACTCAGAACTGCTTTCCCCAGAGATCAGATGAAGTCTTCCAGTATGTAGAGGTGTAGATGTTAGGGGAGAGGCCTGACCCYTTCAGTTTGAAGTCTTCTGCAGGAGCTGCATGACAGTGGTCTGACCATTATGGGTGATGTGCATAACCTCCATGCTTTTTYATCTGAATCCAATTTACCTGATTCCAAAGTGCTCATCTGTCCCATATTTTTGCTCTCTTTCTGTAACCCCACCTCACCAAGTCAAAGATGTGTCACTTTCCTCTGAAGTAGTTTGAGACTGCCTGACACCCTTCCCACAGAAACCTGCACGTGTGTAGGCTGTAAAGCTGTTGGCCTTTGTTCACCTGTGTATGGCAAATAAATTTGGGCAGGCCAAGCCTTTTGAACCAAATTGTGTAGATGGTGACGCTTAGGGAAATRGGGTTTAGTGGTRGACTTGGCAGTCCTGGATTAACARCTGAACTTAATTTTACAGGTCTTTTTTAATCTAAATGATTTTGTGGTTCTATGAAAACTTTTAATTGGACAGCTTGGTAATGGTAGGCTTGCTGAAGGAGCCTGCTGAAACTTGGAAACCATTTAGGTCCACTTAGGAGAATTTATTTGATGAAAAATGTGCTTCTTTTTATGAGATTTTAATTTTTCCCTTCTYGGGTATCTTGACTTCTAATTATCTTATACTTTTGGGCATTGGTATTTTGGTTTTGTTTGTGTGTGTGTGTCTCACTGTGCTTTTTTTGGATGTAAGCAAGTTTGAGCTTTCTTGGTGATTTTTTAACTAATGAAGGTTAAGAGGACCATTGCTCTCTGTGTGTTTAACCCTGTTTGTTGATTAAATGAAGAATCTTACTTTGAGCTATTTGTCTTAACAAGGAAGGATGTTATTTTCAAATAATGAGCTATGGCCTGTTTACAGGTCTGCTGTCAGGARATGAAAATGATTATTTGAGGAAGTACCAAGTTAGGGTTCAAACTGTTCTGGCCATGCATATGCCACCTCAAACTTGATAGCAGACATCTGAAACCATGTCAGGATAGAATTGTTGGAGCYTACCATGCCAATAACTTGCTACGTTTGCTTGAAATTGTTGTTGACAAGTGTTTAAATTCATTTAAGATTACTGTAAAATCATTTTTGAGAATGGGAGAGGAACATTAGGAGGATGAACCAGTAAGTGGAAAGGAAGGACAAAAGACTGAGTCTTCCTTGGCAGCATTCTGCTCATTTTTGAAGGATTAKAATGTTTTTTTTCCACAGAATGCTTTTGTCATCCTGATTCACTTTAAAGATTTTTCTCTTGCAGTGCAGTTAAAARTTGTCTAATGATGGTAATGCTGCAGCAGTCACTGGGAATACATACTTAGAGCTTGTGTGTAACACTTCAATATTTTATAACAATTTAACTACCATATTGGTGCTTGTTTAAAACAAAATTTTTGCTAAGTCATTCAATACRAAGTTGCAGCAAATACCAATATGAGGGTTCTTTTACCTTTATTATTCTTGTGGTACATTGTCATATTACCATGATTGTGTCTACAGTTTAGGTATTGGGAAGTAGGTCTGCAGTCGTGCAAACCAGAAGGTGTGCAAGTGGATGACTGACTGTTGGAGCAGYTGAGACAGTTAAATAATTTTATATAGAGGTGATTGACCTAGTTTTGTTTTGTTTTTTTTTTCCTTAAACATAATTGAAACAAACCMATTTTTTGACATGGAGAGAAGATGGAAGGATTGTGGCCAGGTCAATGGTGATGATAAAARAATGGAATAGGACAGGTAACTGGTTGGATTGTCCAGCTGTACTGTTAGAAGGGTTTTTGACAAAGAACATACTTCTAAAATACAGGTAAAGGGTTATTTGTAGGGAGAGAGAATGTCAAAGTCAAGCTGCATCAAAGTCTGGGAGCTTTGTCATAATCTTACTGGACTCTGGAGAGGTCTGGACTCTTCCCTTGGATTTGAAGGAAGTAGAAAGAAAGAAAGGAAAATAATTTAGTCTCAGAGATGTAGGAAGGTACTGTATGAKCTCAATATAGTGTTAGACCAAAAGTGGCAAAAAATGCAGCAAAACCTGGAGAATGCCAGTGACCCTTAGGTACTCACTGGTTGGTAAATGCTGTGTTGCCATGAAATTCAGTAGTTCATATAAATATATATGTGTACACAGTTTTCTGCTCCTTCTTATGACAGGCATGTGATTTGTGTTAAGTTTGGCCTTGGGAGACGTGGAAAATGAAGTGTGGAGCAGCCTAGTTGCTTGCTCTTGGACATTTAAGTRTTGCACACATTTTTCTAATCTCAAAAAGGCAAGTTTGGCCAAACGTCATACTTGGTTGCAATTAGGACTAAGGAACCAAACATTTAATCTCCAACTCAAGCATTTGGTGAGGCATGAGAATAATTGAGAAGCTGATACAAGTCTCATGGCAGTTCCACACTATTKTTTTTCTCATGTTCTGCTCTGGAGAGTCTATAGAAAGAAGGAAGTTAGCTGAAACTACTGTGTGGAAGCAGGAGGGGCAGACAGATTAAAGCCCACGAATGGATGTAGTAATACTGTGCATGTGAATAAAGGAGTGAATAAGAGAAAAATGGGAAAATTAAATCAAGCATCATAGCAATCTTTATAAAGCTTTATTTTTGGGAGAGATCCTTTTCAAGCAGGACACTCACCATGTGTTGTTATTTCTGCTTTCMAGATAACCAGCATGGAAGCTAAAACCAATGAAGATTGTTTGAAAGTCCATAAAATGAAGAAGAAGGTATTGAGGAAGCAGGCCAGAGCTCAGCATACATTGATGAGACATGAGGGCATAAAGTGTGTCTCCCATGCCACACAGGTAGTTGTGATTTTGATGGTAGTTTTAAAATGCTGCTTATTTGTGTTCTGTTCTCACATGTGTCTTATGTGAAATGCAGTCTTGCTAATGGCTCAGCAATCTTGTTTATACTGTAAACTTTTTAGAACAAAGACTGTGTTTTCCTAGTGTTGCTTAGAAATGTGTCTGTCATTTGGTTCTTGTTCCCCTTGAAATTGTCCCAGGTACCAAATTATCCATCTGATCTATCCGAAGAGTAATTTAGGGGTCCAGCAAGGTCCTTACTGGTGACAGAACATTTTTAACAAATGATAGTGGAACAAAATCATAGCACTAGTGGTAAAYTTGTGTCAGGAATACAGAAAATGTTTCCAGACTTTGTGCAAGAGTCTGATTATCTCCAAATTGCATCATCAGTTGCTGCATGTGCTGCAGCACTTGTGTAGTGGGGTATTTGTAGATTAAGTGAAAGGAGYGGTTTGAACCTCTCCGTATTCTTCAAATACATGGGCATTTCCATCTATAACATTCTAGAAAATAGCAGTAATTAATAATGGGGTAAACTTTGAAAAATGTGATCAGTGGTGGACAGTTTGATGCAGAGCTTAGAACAGATGGTAACAGAGCCTTCACAATAGACGTAATCACAGCAGTGCTCACTGTATAATTTTTTTTTTCTAATAATCTTTCTCTTTGGTTCTAAATCTCATTTTCTGKTTTTTTTAGAGAAGCTAAATGCAGTCATTTGAAATAATTGAACACTTTTCCCAAACGTGCCAGTTCAAAGCGTGCATTAACTGAAGAGATGTTTCTGATAGAGGCTGCAAGGCTTTCCCCAGAATATGTACAGGGCAAGCAAAGGTTGCCTTAGCCTTGTATAACAAGGTCATGGAAATGTAAATATCTCGTGCAGAATACATAGAAGAGTGCTCATGAGTTTAATTTTTATTTATAGTACTGTTCTCTTGCTAAAATGTCAGTTTAAATGAACCAAGAATAATCACTATTTTTTTTTCATATTTTTTAATTTGTGTTCTTTTTCTTTTAGAGCCTGGTTATTGCCAATGCTGGTCTTGGTAATGGGATGAGCAGACATCAGTTGCTTAGGATACTAGAAGAATATGGAGCCATGGAAATGCTGTTAATGCCACCAAATAAACCATATTCATTTGGGAAATACAGAACAACAGAAGAAGCCAAGAAAGCCTTTAATGCCCTTAATGGAAAGGAAGTAATGCTGGAAGACTGTGGTCAAAACATTATTCTATATATTAATTTTGTGGAAAAAGGTACAGCTTTTCTGATTTCCTATATGTCCAACTGCCTGCATACTGCTCCCCTCTGGTTTTTCTTCCAGGATTGTAAATATAGTTAAAAGCACACTAGTTTCTTTAAGTAGACACAGAGAATGAAAGCTAGACTGTGAGATTCAGGTCATAAAATAGTCTGCTCCCCAAGAGCAAAAATCTCCCCAAGTTTTTTTTTTTGGCTGATGATAAGCTATTCACTACAAGAACAGTTGCTCTGTAAGCTTTCATAGTGTCTAGCAAAAGGGGTTCCTGGTGTTGGTCTGTACATTCTGCCAGCATGCAGCTTTTTTTTGAGCTCTTAGGGTAGCAAACTGAATATYCCTACATCAGTGATTTATGTTCCTTTAGGTATTGTTTTGTATTCCATATTTCTACATATTTGTTTACAGAGTACTCTCTGTCTTGAGAAGCAATCTACTGATATGGTAAATCACTAAAACTACAAAATTAAAATGAAATTCAGATAGAACTTGGAAGTGATTGGGAAATTCTGTTTACCATTATTTTGACAGGAAAATCACAAGTGGTTTTGTGTTTGAATAATATGAAGTCTTGTTTGTCCTACACAGTAAATTTTGAGAAAGCGCTTGAATGATGCAAAACCCAGGCCTTACTCTGTTTTGTCATGACAAAAAGGGATCATTCTTTCTGCAAATAGGACCACAAAGAGGGCTTCATTGTATATTCTCACACAAAGTAAATATATCCCTATAGGGAATGCATGGTTTTATTTTCTCTAAACAGTGACAAAATTCTCTTTTTTTTTTCATATGCCTCAGTTTCCTTGCAAAATGCTGTTCCTACAAGCTTGCCTCCAGGCTTAATGGTAATTGAAAAGATTATTTCTCCGGAGGAAGAAAGAAGGATGTTGGAGAGTATTGACTGGAAAGGAGGTGAAGATACTGAAAATGGTGGGTACAGCTATAAAAATCCAGATATTCTATACTTTTATGCTGTTTTTTCCCTACACTTTCAGGTTACAGGAAGTCTACATCTTGGTAAATGTATTGTCAGAAATGATTCTGTGTTTGTTCTTAGCATTTTAGAAATTGGGTCTTATACTGCAAGTGATAAGCTCCTCGGGGCAAGTGGTCTGAATAGATATTCTAGAATGGATTTACTTGAATAACATACCTGCATCCAGAGAAAATGAAAGCTTTTTATTTTTTATTATTAATATGCTTCATACTAAAGCACAAGACTGTTGGTAATTTGATGTACAACTGAGGAGCTACTTCTGTTTTTAAGTAAAAAATAACTTAGTCAGGCATGCATTCTGAATGCTCTCATGCTTTCACTTGAGCTTGTGGAGTTAAATCCTTCAGTGAGTGAATTCTTGGAAATCACTTCAGAGTTCTTGTGTAAATTTGTTCCTTGGGGCAATGCAAAAGRTCATGTTGACCGTAGCAAATGTGTAACTTGGTGATTGATGAAAATCAAAGMTCTTGATGTATCTGTAGGGTATTATCAGGTCTAAGTTCAGAGATCAGGGCAGGAAAAGGATGCATTAAGCATGGATCAAGAAAATTGGTATTCCCCATTTCTTGCATATACAAAACCAYGTCCCTTTGACTCAAAACAGCAGTGAATGTGATACATGATGAAATACAGAAGATAATAAGGCAGAAGTGTGTGCCATGAAGAACAAGGGTCACATATGTTGGTTTAACTGCTCGTTAAAGAATGCTTAGGCTTAACAGGTCAGATGAAATAGAAAAACATAGSAAATTGCCTATAATGTTTTATATAGTCTAATCTTACTTGAACCTTATGTGCTTTTACAGYCCAGAAGACTTTAAAGCATAGAAGAGTAAAGCACTTTGGATATGAGTTTTGCTATGATAACAATAATATTGATAGAGACAAACCATTACCTGGAGGTGAGTATTTTCCTATTAAATTGTACTTATTTTGCACTGATATTTGAATTAATGTGTAACATGTTTAGGCCTCGCTGAGTTWCGGCTGTGCAATTGTGGTCAAAGGAGACCCTTTGCTGTATCTTAAGAATACACTAAACAGTGGTTTTGAATGCTTTTGAATTTTGAGATCCATTCCAGATTATTATGAGTGCTTCCAGTTTGTTGTCCAATTGCTTGGAGCCAGAGGTTGTTGCCTATTGTTGAGGTCTGGTCAAATAAGGCTTTTGGGATTATAATTGTCATTCCTGTGTAGWTTTTTGTTCCATAAAACAATTATGTGTTAGAAATTGCATATTAATTTGTTTCGGGGATGCGATGTATGTTGCTGTATCTATTTATCTCAACCAGCTTGAAGCTTRCTGGATGCAAACTGAAATAAAATTWCCTTTGCTCTGAAATCARTTTTGTAAAGGTTTCAATAACTCTTATTTGGAGTTGAAAGCTGTGAGTCAGAGCAAAGCGAGTGAGTCATCTCATAGACTTAGRTTTAAAAATAGTAAAATAGGAGAGTTAAATTCCTGTAAAACTTGAAGGTATTTGAGGTGATGCATGTGTGCTGGGATGGATGTGGCATGCCACAGAAGGATTCTGGTTACATTAAGATTTTAACTGTGATGCTATATGTGAATTGTTTTCTAGTCTCACAGACTGTTTTRTGTGTGTGAAAAGCATAAGCACTTCTTGGGGGAAAACAAAAATAAAAATCAGTAGATACATGGAAGGGATAGTAGTAACACATTGCTTCATGTTACTGCCAGCAGAATTTTTCAATCAAGTCCTCAGGTAAAATAGGAAACCAAAGCTTCAGTGGAGGACTATACTTTCCATTCCTGTTTCAAGATCAGCTTAACTTTAGCAGATTTTTTTGGTGATATTTAATCCAATTCAGTAACAGACTTCCAGGGAGTAAATTTTTTAGAGATCTCTCTGCACAACTGACTCTCCACATGATAATTTTGTTTCTTGACGCAACTTCTCTATTGTAGTTGGTGAAAACTTTGCCTCTGATTTGATGTAGTTTTATTTATGTGTAGAGATACTAGAATTTGCATAAGTAGTCTGCTTCTAAATGCAGAACCTTGGAGGAGTGGCCTTTCTAATTTTGAGATCTTAAAAATATATTTGACTTGAAAATTAGGCCCCCAGTTCTCATGAGTGTGTTAGTAGCAAATGCAGAGTAATCATTATTAAAGATAGACTTGCATGTGTATGTATTTTTTTCCAGTTATATTTATTGTAAAAAGCTGTCCTGTCTTGTTTAYGGTTCTGTTTCTATAACTAGGTCTTCCTGAAATTTGCAACCCATTCTTGGAGAAGTGCTTAAAGCAGGGATATATYAAACATAAACCTGATCAACTGACTGTAAATCAGTATGAACCTGGACAAGGTAAATTTATTTGTCCCTCAAAAATTTTGAGCTTTTTATCTTACATTGTGGTTTACCCCTGTTAGGTAATTAAGCACATGCAGCTGCTCAYTCACTCCTCTYACTGAGGCAAAGGAGAGAATTGGAAGATAAAAGTGAGGATACTCATGGGCTGAGATCAAGACAGTTTAGTAAGTTAAAAAGAAAAAAGGAAATAAAACAAAGGAAAACAAGTCATGCAAAAAAAAAAATCCTTAGCTACTGGCTAATGCTCTGCCAGTCAGTCCCTGAGTAATGACACCCCTGGTAAACTTCACCTTTTATGTTATTGCTGATCACAATGTCATGTGGAATATTTCTTTGGTTAGTTGGGATCAGTTTTCCCATTGGTGTCCCCTCCCAGCTTCTTGTGCATCCCTAGCTGGCTGAGACCCCTTCCTGGTGGGGAAGTATAAGAACCATAAAAGACCTTGAGACTGTGTAAGCACTGCTCAGAAACAGCTAAAACATTTGTATTATCTACTCTGTTTTTATCCCAAATCCGAAGTATAGCACCTTACTTTGTGGTGCACCTTRCAACTGTGAAGCAGATGAGCTACATCCCAACCAAACCAGTACAGCTTCACTGAAAAGCAGAAGAGTGTAGCATCTAATTGTAACATTGTACAGGGACAGGATTTAAGCACCTGCTTAGTGTATTTCCTCTGATACCAGAGAAGCTTTGAATCAAAACTCAAGTCTTAATAGTGGTTTCTGTCACATGGGAACTTAAGTTCAGAAGTAYAGTTTTTGATACCACTGTTATGGAAAATGATGATGTTTGAGTCCAAGGCCATAATTTGAAAACTAACAATAAAAATATATAGTAATAACTAGTCTTATTTGGTTTTCTAGTTAAGTGCATTTTTTTTACACCAAACTTGTATTGCTTCCTGTAATGTGCATCCAGGAGATGTCTCTTGCTGTTAGTACATATGATATAATRTTAGTGTATGTGATATATTGAGTCTTAAGTATGATGCAAGCAGTGTTCCCTTATCTTAGAAATAAGAAATTACTCTATTTTTGTAATTTTTCCCAAATTGGAGTCTTCTGAAGAAAAATATGCTTCTAATCACACTTCCAGGGAATAAATCATGTACTGTGCTTTTTTGCTAAGCTTAGTCATCAACATTGAGTATCTGGCTTGCTTTCYAAAGTGAATATCTCATTTGTCCTTAGGAAGAAAGAACAATGGCTTTACTCTCAGAATTAATGTCTGACAGCTATTACAGTGTCTGCTGAACAAGGGTCTGAAAAGCTGATCCTATTTGTTTATGTCTGACAATCTGTTAAATTGATTCAGTTGTGTATTTCTGTCTGGGACATCTGATGAGGYTAGTTAGGATTGTAGATTTCTATCAAGAATAGAAGCAAGTTTTTTTTTGAAAGATCAAACAAAAACCCAAACCCAAAGCCACATACCTTTTCTTAACTGCAAATCATTAGAATATGAATGAGCAGAGTGCAGTCAGATTAATACTGTCTTTGTTCTGAGCAATGTTTTCAATGGAAATGACACTTGAGATTTTATAAAATGGGTTATGGCTATGAGTATCTAAGTTGGAGGGCCACACATAAGGCACATAAAATGATTTCCTTTATGAGGACACTTTTTCCATTCAGGATTCTAGTAATGTTTAAACTTGTAAATTTATACTTGGAAATTACCCTATACTTTTGAATCTTTCAGAATGGTTAGGGTTGGAAGTGACCCTTTGGAGATCATCCAGTCCAAACTGCCTTCCAAGTCAGGGCCGCCTAGAGCAGGTGACACAGGAACATGTCCAGGTGGGTTTGGAATGTCTCCAAAAAGGGAGGCTCCACAACCTCCCTGGGCAGYCTGTTCCAGCACTCTGCCACCCACCATGGAAAAAAGTTCTTCCTCATATTGAGGTTTCTTCCTGTGCTTTAGTTTATGTTCTGTCATTGGGCACTACTGAAAAGAGCCTGCCACCATCCTCTTGCCACCTGTCTTGGAGATWCTTACGTGTGTTGATGAGATTCCCACTCAGYCTTCTCTTCTCTAGACTAGGCYCAGCTTCTGCATTCTCTCATTAAAGGAATGCTCCAGACCCCTAATCATACTCACAGACCCTCTCCATTAGYTTCTTGTCTGTCTTGATGGAGGAGCCCAGAACTGGACTCAAGATGTGACCTTACGAGGGCTGAGYAGAGGSGGAGGATCACCTCCTTTGGTGATGGCCACACTCTTCCTGATGCACYRCAGAGTACTTTTGGCCGTCTTGGCAGCATTGGAAAACTGCTGGCTTAGGTGACTTCTGTCTGTTGGTTTGCTTCATATATGGTGTGTAAAAAGCAAGTGGGTAGGTCAGTGTGGTCTTGATTGAATTATCAGGGACAGTGTRGAGAGTTGTCCATGTTCTGCTGCTGCATGGTGAATTGCAGAGAGTTCAGTGTGCCTCTTGAAGCAGAGGCTTAATGCTTTGCACAGAGGCAAAGTTATGGGCCATAACAAATAGATATCTATCCGTCCTTGGTTTTCAGGCCTCACTGATTTTCTGTCAGATTAAATGTTGGTCTCATAAAACACTTGTATTGTTTTCACCGAAACTAATGATATTCAGARCATTGGATATAAAATCTGCCATATACTAAGGGTGATTTGTGGAGCTGACTGCACTGTTAAAAGAAATYGTTTTCAACTCAGGAATTCTCTATAGTGCCCAAACTGAACTTGGGTAGAATTTTTCATAAACAAATAAAACTGTCAGTTTGGATCATATAGAAATTACTCTGTCTGCCCTGGCCGGCAGTGGATCAGTTGCAGTTCTCCCAAGCTGTCTGCTGGCCTTGCTCCACTGCTGACTGCTGTTCCCCACCATGTGGTGAGATCTTGCTGTGGCATGCACACTGCTGTTTTAGCACTTGGCATTAAAATGTGTGACACAAGCTGTAGGGATTGGCAGTTCCTTTCCAATTAGATATGAAAGAAAAATCTAAAAAAAAATCCCMCAAATTACTGTCCTTTTGGCAATTCTCAGTTATGTGTGTGTACTCATACATGCACTGACAGATATATTGCCCAGGGTTTAGCCTACCAATAGTGTGTGCTTGGCTGGGAAGTGCAAAGCAGAAGCAGGGCTTGATCATAACAGTGCCTGCTTCTGTGGTGGTAAGTACTAATGCTGAAGTTGAAACCCTTAATGCAGTCGTTTGCTTAGGAAATAGAGGGATTTGAGATCACTCCTCTGTGAAGAAAGTCAGATAGAAATACATCGTGGATGAACTGAAGCCCAAAATCACCTTATGTACCATAACTGTTAGTGCTAAGGGCTAAACTGCCTAAGAGGGCAGCAAAGTGATTGAGCTGCTCTCAGYAGCAGGGAGAGCTTTTGGAGTCATCGAGGATTGAGTGAGGTTTTGGAGTAACCTGAGCTATCTTCTAAGTGTTGCCACTGATTGTAAAGACTCTTGGGTTATATCCATCTAATCTGGGCATGAGAACGAAACAATTGCCCTGAATTATTATGTAAGGCAGTTCCCTCATTTATAATAAATTTTGTTTGTTCAACCATACATCYCAGTTTTCCACATGGATATCCACAGAAACAGAACTTGCTAACAGAGAATAGCACTTTATTACTTCTGCTGTTGTTATTATGTTGACTCTTGTTTTTTGTTTGTTTTTTTTTTTAACAGGAATTCCTCCTCATACTGATACACATTCTGCTTTTGAGGATGAAATAATCTCTCTCAGTTTGGGGGCTGAGGTAAACTTAATGTTTGCRTGTGGTCTGATGTATGGTCTTTACWGAGAAGTTCCATTTTKATATTGTTAATTTGATTTTCCATGGTGTCAGTCCACATTCATCCAAACTTAATCTCATGTATGAAAGGTAGTATGATATGCTAATTAAGTAAGTAGGTGCAATATGATGTGGCTGGAAGGTTTGCCAGTGATATCAATGATTTTTAAATCTTGGCATCCAGTTCTCCATGGACCTTCCTTCATCTTTATCTCATGCTTTAATTTCACATATTCTGCCTCAGTCTGCAGCCCTGAGCTTTCTTCTTATTTCCATTTCAATTAAAAAGCTGGCTCTGGCACAGATGCTGGGTTACTTCACTGATGTAGCACCATAAGCAGTGCATTTCTACATTATTGTATTACAGTGTACCTTTGTGATGGTCTCAGAGATGGCCAAAAGCACAGTGATTTTAATCACTTGAAAAATACAAATCTTCCTGGGAAGCAGATTACCAGGAGCATTTTGAAGCTGCAGAAGGTTGGAATGTGTACATTTTAACCAGGGAGACAGCCAGACKTGAGCCATTTCTAGATATTTCAGATGCAGGCATTGGATTACAGCCTGTTAGGTATATCTCCCACGTTTAAGTGCCTTTTCCTAATGGGCCATAAATACACTTTCCAGGTCAGGCAATCAAAGCATAGATGCAGTAAAACAAGCCAGTGGCCGATGAAATGCTGCATTTTTTTATGCCTTTTCTTTCTAGTACTTTTACAACTTTTTATGATTTCTTTGTGGTTTTGTGCACTTGGCTCTTCATCTGATTTTAAAATGAAAATATCAGTTGCAGTTATATGTGAATTAGCTAGTTTAGAAGAGATGCTCCCTTCTCTATTGCCATTAAATCTTACCATGTGCAAAATTTACACACTCTATTAATAAAKAGTTGGAATAGTTGCATACACAGCATCAACCTTTGGTGTCTTTCTCTTCTTCTCTTAATTCTTCTCTCTATAGGGTGACTTTTTTTTTTGCCTGAATAAATTAGGCTGCAATGTGGTGGAAAACATACATAAAGTCATATGTCTTGTCCTTTCTTTGTTCTCAACAGTAAATGCACACATTTAAATAAAAAGTGCCATAAAKAAATTACCTTGCAGCCTAGCTGGTTCTGTGTTCTGTTTTGGAAATTGGCTAACCAGACCCTTCACAGGAAAAAACGAAGCAGAATGCGTCATTATACTGAGTCATGGAAAGAACTTTTATTTCAATTGCTTATATGCTTGTCCCTCCAGGATCTGAGTTAGGCAGATTGTGATAATTAATAACTAAAATAAATGCTTTGGCTTATGAAAAAGGATCTGGCAGAACAGAGGGCTAAACACAAACACCTTCCCAGCCTGATGACTTAGTTATCAGTGCAGATTCTCAAACTTCTTGTGTTATCTTCACAGGCCCACAGAATTGGTTAGGTTCGAGGGGTCCTCTTAAGGTCATGTTGTCCAAGCTGCCGCTTAAGCAGGGTCAGCAAAAGCCAGTTGTCCAAGACTGTATCCAGTTGTGTTTTGAATATTTCTGCAGATGGAGACTCCAGAATCTCTGTTGGCAACCTGTTGCAGTATTTGACCTTTGTTGCAGTAATAAGCCAAATTGTTTCTTTGAATTCTGACGGAATGACATGGCGTTTAAATTGTGCCTATTACTTCTTGCCCTRTTGGTGGACACTGTTAGGAAGAATCTGGCTCCCTCTTCCTCATTCCTTCCCATCAGTTATTTATACACATTAATAAGAGTCATCTTATCTGATCCTGAGCCATCCGTTCTCCAAGCTSATCAGTCCCAACTCTCTCAGCATSTCCCTTATACAAAGATACTCCTTAATCATCTTCATMGCCCTGTCTTGCACTTGCTCCAATAAGTCCAAAGTATTCTTGTAGTGGGAAGTCCAGTCCCAGTACCGTACATAGTACAGGCGATACATCCTCATCAGGGCTGATTAGCAAGGAAGGATCACCTCTCTTTACCAGCTGATGGTGCTGTTCTGAATGTAACCCAGGAGGCTGTTGGCCTTTTTTTTCTACAAGGGTACACTGGTGGCTTGTGTTCATCTTGTCACCAGGACCCCAAAGTCATTTTTGGCAAAGGTGTTTTCTAACTCATCAGTCGCCAGTGTGTGGAGATATGTGGGATTATGCTTGACCAGATGCAGGATTTTGCATTTCTGTTTGTAGAACTTGATGAGGTTCCAGTTGGCAGCAGTTCTGCAGCCTGTCAAGATCCTTCTGGCACACGTATTCGGTGTATCAGCCACTTCTCTGAGTTTTATTATGCAAAAGTGCTGAATGTATGCTCTGCCCTATCATCCAGGTCATTAGAGAAGTTTTTAAACAGTGTTAGCCCTGGTATCAATCCCAAGGGCAGCCCACTAGTGACATGTCTCCAATTTGGTTCATGCCACTGCCATCTTCACTGGTACGTTGCAACCTAGCTCACATTATTGAGGATGAGTCTTTTCCTCAGTGGTGTATGAGTTTATCCAGGAACTCGGAACTGTTTTGTTAGAGGAATCATTGTAAATTTAATTTGTTTCTGCAAACCTGACATGTTGAAAAAGGAATAGTTATTGGCGTGTATGTTCATTTTAAATATAAACAATCTTAAGAACAAAATAAAGGCATGATTCTTCACAACTGCATTTTTCTTGCATCAGACAATGTACAGTAATCCAGGTTCTTACCCCTGTATGAAATGAGGTAGAAGTGTGTCAAGGAGATCCTCTTTCCTGTCTGAGTCACATGAAACAGCTTTATCAAGAGGCACAGAAAAGCCAAGTGGTTGCCCTGGTTGGTGCAATCCGTTGTTTTGAGGAGTTTACAAGATGGATTGAACTTACTTTGAAGGACAGAAATCTGATTATTGCTTTGTACTTCTGCCTAGTTTGTAAAAACTGCTGAATAGTTTTGAGGGCAAAGATGTGATTTGTCTTATTCCATAATACTTCAGGAAAAATGGGGGACTCAGAGTAACGATTCCTGTTGGTAACCCATTTCTTTGRCATCTCCTGGGAAACTGCAGAATAAAGTGAGACTTCGAGAATGTCCTCTGGGCTTGTAATTGCATTTTATAAATCACTACATTCACCATTTCTTTAGGAGCTGATACACTGAAAATATTAGTGAATATCAGTTTCACTGCTGTGTTATTGAATGCAACTTTCTTTTATTTAGAAATTGTCATTGTRGGAAAGACAAGGCAATGTGTTTCATTTAGATGAGGGATCTTTTATTAAACTTAATGGCAAATCATGTTCTATGTCTATGATTTTGAACAAAGTACTGGAAAACACAGATCTGTCCTTCCTGTTGAAAATTTTGGTTTTATTTAAGTTAGGTGCTATTTTCAGTGCCTCCATTTGGTGTCTCTAAAGATACACAATTTTACAGTATTTCATCTTAGAAGCCTGGCCAAGTTTGCAGCTGTCTCGAAAGAATCCTAATTTTAAAGCCTGTGTCAAATTGCTGTTTGCAGGTTTGCAGCCGGCACTTGATCAATATTGAGATTTCTRGTTTTACACTTTTTCTGATTTGCCATTTTATATGCTACAATGTAAGCCTTGATTCATTAAAACTATAGAAATAGAGAGGTAGCATTTCTATAGTGAGCTAAGTAATGCTACAAACATACCAAACCCATAGAAGAATCCCTTCCTGGCTGCAGATCTTATGCCCAGTCAACAGCTACCAACACCCTGCAGTCCCTCCTTGTCAGCTCTGCCCCTCTGTGTCCAAGACTKCTGTGGGACATCCAGTGTGTCATGCCAGAGAGCAAAGCACAGTCACAGTTTGCTGAAAGGTGTGTTGGTGTGTTGTGTTGGTGCAATACTCTGATTTATGTTGCTCTGTCCCATTTTCCTATGATCCAGCCCCAGGCTTGCCATTCTCTTCTCCTTAGCTCTCCTTTTTCTTGCCTTACTCTGCTTCCTGTSCCTATACCTTGGGCCGGCAAAAGGCTGGTACAAACACTGAGAACTGCAGTGATGCTCTGTCTAGGCCTTGACCTAATGTCTGAGGAAGGAAAGCTTTAGGGATGTCAGCCAGATTTGTGGCTCAGGATTAAAGAGTGGGGCCATGTATGGATCATCCTTGACCTCTGCCAAATTTCTGTTCATCTGAACATATCATCTCTTAGCCTGTGGATCTTAAGTGCTTTGATCTATAAAGAAAACCAGTGACTCTCTTAAGCCTTGAAAGCAGAGCAGTGTTACAAAGCAAAACTTCATGAGACCTTTTGAGCAACCTTGGAGTATGGTCATTCTAGAACTGATAGAATGAGGTATACTGCTTCTACTAATTTCTCAGTCTGATAATTGACCTTTTTCTGGCATTTTTGTTTCTTACCTGTTGGTCTATTTCTGATCTGTCTTGGTTAATAAACAGAAACCTGTAGCTGGTATACTATCAGCTGTTTCTGTAATAGCTGAGAGATTTTATTAGAAGCCTTTAGAAAGTCTAGACTGTACCTAGCCTCTGACAGTTAGCAGCTGTTTTGTGTCTTGCATGTATTTTAACAAGATAGTCAAGCACTGGATRTTGCTGTGTGGTCCAGCTCTTATTCTGCTTATCTTGGTTAGTTGCAAATTCAGTTTAATTTGTTGTTTAAATATAGATTGCTTTAKTTTTCTTGTAAGGGAAGGCAAAAAGTATTTTACCTATTTAAGGAATTACTATGGTAGTGACTATACCAAAGTTTCTTTCTCTGTGCTGGCAGGATGATGGTAGTGGGTGAAATAGTAGTAACAGCCTTCATTATTTAAAAAGCAATAGTATTGGGAGAATCAAATTATCTCTGAACCCAAATGGAAGATACTAATTTTAATCACTACAACCTAATGCTGAGTTTAAAAGTTTATTCATATGAGCCTGGTGGGATTCCTAAAGCTCAATAGTGGGCTTTTTCTGKTCTGTAAGACAGGTGTTACTCAAGAAACATGTCTTACACTCCTGGATTTTATCAGTTCTTGA